ACTGTGCAATATCCTGTAGATATTTGTCCAATACAGTCTTAATTTGTACAATTTCCTGCTGGGCAGTCTGCATTTGTACAATTTTTTCCTGGCACTGCTGCTGTAAAATATGCAGCTGTGAAATTTCTTCTTGATATTTCAACTTTGCTTTCTGCAGTTGTGCAATTTCCTGCTGATAGTCTTTGTTTGCCGTCTGCACCCACTGTGAGAAATTTCCTGCTGATATTTCTGCTGTACAGTTTGCAGGTCTGCAATTTCCTGCTGATAGTCTTTGTTTGCCGTCTGCAACTGAGAAATTTCCTGCTGATATTTCTGTTGTACAGTTTGCAGGTCTGCAATTTCCTGCTGATAGTCTTTGTTTGCAGTCTGCAACTGTGAAATTTCTTGCTGATATTTCTGCTGTACAGTTTGCAGGTCTGCAATTTCCTGCTGATAGTCTTTGTCTGCAGTCTGCAACTGTGAAATTTCCTGCGGATATTTCGGCCGTACAGTTTGCAAGTCTGCAATTTCCTGCTGATACTCTTTGTTTGCATTCTGCAACTGTGAAATTTCTTGCGGATATTTCGGCCGTACAGTTTGCAAGTCTGCAATTTCCTGCTGATACTCTTTGTTTGCAGTCTGCAACTGTGCAATCTCCTGCTGGTACGACTCCTGTGCAGTCTGGAGTTGGGTTTGCAAGCTCAATTTAGCCTGAACCTCCTCGTCACATCGACGCCGGAGCACGTGGAAATGGCCGACCAAATCTGCAAACATCAAAACAACTTGACGAACATCCTCATTGCCGATGCAACACAAAAAACCTGGCATTCACGAACGTACGGTTTTAGAACACAAACGTAAACCTCACCAATATTAGAATCATTTCGAACGCAATCGTAAATCTCACCGATATTAGAATCATTTAGAACACAAAAGTAAAATTCACCGATATTAAAATCACTTAGAACACAAACGTAAATCTGCGGGTGCTCACCAAAATCGGAATCGTTTGATTCCACGTGCAGTTCACTGAACTCCTCCTCTGCGCCGATCAGCCACTGGAGAATGACAGACAAGGTATCCTCCAGTGTGGACTTCAATCCACTTATTCGTTCGCTAACGACGAGGTTAGCGATGGACGTGACGAGATGCTGAACGGTCGATCGTTTCAGTCCTGACGCCTTCACTTGCGCCTGAAATCACAAAACGCGTAACCACTCGAAATTCCAACCCGCTAATGACGTGCCAAGCATTACTGAAAAACAATGGTGGGTGGCACCACCCGCTCCTCCTTACTTCAGCCCTCATCCCACGAGTTTCCACAACATCCCCGATCACCGTTCGATGAGACATTACGACGATGACCTTTATGGCTTCATCTCAAACGTGTGACACAGGCGACAAGAGACACGGTCTCGGAAATAAGTCCGTGAACACACGGCTGTTCCCGATTTCGAAAATTTCGTTTTTTAACACGTAACCTACACTAAAACCCATCGAAAACTAGCCGGCCTGGCTCGATCGTTACCAGCCGGTCCCGGTTTTCGAAAATGTTGATCACTACTAAGTAACCTAAACTAAAACCCATCGAAAACTAGCCGGTCCTGCTCAAAGGCCATCGGTCCCGTACCTGAGGGTGGATGCCGTTTGCTAACTCGATGCGACACGTGGCACGTCTCACCTGAATGCGCGACAGGCACAGATTTCAACAGATTTCAAAAATTTCAATTTCTACCACACAACCTAAACTAAAACCCATCAAAAACTAGCCGGTGCCACTCAAAGGTTACCGATCCCGGACCCGAGGAGGGACGGGAGGGAGGGGCTGCTGTTTCCTACGCCGCCACTACGCGGGGCGCGTCTCACCTGCATGCACGACAGGCACGTGCGGATGCGGCCGACGCCGACCGCCGCCTCCTGGCGGGCGTCGGCCATCGCGGC